TAGACTTGGATTCGAAATCATCTACCTGGGCGCAAAACAAGCGACATATCGGACCCGATATATGTTAAAAAGTTCCTGGGTCATTGAATATATATCATTTAGCGATATAAACAAAACTTGCTCATTAGCATGTCAATGCAATGGAGTAAACGACCTTAGTAAGTTTTCCTAGAATATAAAATGTGTGGTGCACTCACTTACAATTTGCGATAGATTAGTGATTTCATCACAGCTAAATTAGTAGTAGTTGTTGGGATATTTCCAAAGAAATTTTGCAAAAACTGAACAGGCTCAAGCCACAACTATAATTCCAGGCAAAATCATTTTGCTCTTATGTCTTTTGAATGTCTGGCCATCATATGCACATTTACCTTTGTATCGCCTAACATTGATTACTGCAATGCTAATTCAAATATTGCGAGCAATGCCCATCTCGTCGTTGCACAAAATGCGCTGAAATCAAAATGCTTTGCCTCACAGTTGACACCGCGCATATTGGTTGGAGTGATTCAGGCGTTTTAACGGACTGTTGTTCTGTGTTGCGTATATGGCATGTCTGTGGTATTTGAATTGTAATAAATCTTCATCTCTCAACTGCATTGTAGCGTCTCGAGACTTTCTGAAGACGAAGGAAGACACAATACTCGGCCAGAATACACATCCAGTGCAGAGAAGGTGTCTAGGCTATTGGCATGGCCCAAAATTCCAGCCCACCCAGTGAGGTACAAGGGGGCTAATTCAAAGTTCAAAAGTGGCTCCTCACCAACAACGAGGGCTAAACCACTATCATATTACAGCATACGCTACATCCAACATCGTCGCAGCTACAAAGACCCTCAACTCAGTTTTACACCCTTAAATAGCGTTTGCACCAGCTTCGATAGTTGCTTGTTTCCAATCCTCCTTTTAGCTGCCCCTAATTGAAATTTTTGCCTTGCTGTGTTTTCAATCCAGCATTTCGTCTAAGCGAAAGAATGGGCGCTGGATTCTTTTTAAGAGAACATGCCGACTTTTATGTACAGATATGAGGTTTTTATTCCCTAGAATGCATTAAGTACTGTTCCTCTGCTAGGGGATTGTGTGACTTCTACGCCTGAAGCGTCTTCTGTCAGTGCAAATGAGCGCCACAATTTAAACAAACATCAAGTCCACCAAGTAACCCCTCACCATATTTTGGGTAAAATGTTTGACAGTTCGACATCCTTCTTCTTTGATAGTGGGCTTACACGGTTTCGTTAAAGTGGGTGCTATGTGGGTCAGTTAAAAAATCCAAATTGGCGAGTAAATGGATGACCTAGGGAACTGGGAGATCCAAAGGGCGCGCACCCCTCAGTCTAGTTAATAACGACAAGTAGAAGAATATCCTCCCACAACTGTTTGGAATTTGATCCTCTCCTTTTTTCTTGTTCATCTTTATCGGGGAAGTGAAATGATGCTGCCTCAGTGCCAAACGCTGGGGTTGTTGTAGTCAGACCTACTTGCCAGACTGATCGGTACCTTGTGTCCTGGCATGCCACAGGGCCGGACTAGTCTCCATACCACTGGTCACAAATGTAATGCTACGTTGATGTCCTTGCCAGTTTGTAGGTGT